GGAATGCCCTCCTTGCCACTTTCCGTCACAAAGTTTAATATTAAAGAGTAAAATGTGGATTGCAGAGACCTGAGTCAGACTGATACTGACAGTTTTCATGTTGCTATTGCTCCCATCATCAGCTTGCCCAATCTACCCTTCTATAATCACTTTAGCTGAGGTGCAGGAAGCCTTAAATATGAGCAGATGAAACATTATGAAACCAGCATGGTGCTTGTCACATGGTTAAAAGAATATCTAATGGCATGTCTCAGACAGAGATCCTCTAATAGTAATATATTCCAGTAGAAATAACTGATTTTTTCTTCAGCCAGTCAGAATCTCAAAGTGCAGGGAAAATTGCCCAGCTGGACAATCATAGCAAAATTAGACTGCTGAGGAATCTTTGACATCAAATGGCTGTTGAGTGGTCAATGTTTTATGATAGAAAGCCATTTGGTTGTGTGGCAGTGCAGTAATAGATGGTCAGTGCTGTTAAACTTTGCATAAAAAATCCAGCAACAAAGATTTGATATGTTCTTTTCTTTGCAAACAAGGGAAGGAATTAGCATATGCTCTTATTTAACATTTACATGCAACTACACTTTCTGCCCTTTTCTGCCACATGCAGCTTAGTGTTACAATACAGCTTTCATTTTGAATTCAGTGGTGCTAAATCCTCCAGTTTCAAGTGGTCCTCATACATTTTTCATACATTAATCTCAGATTCTGCCTGATCTTGTAGCTGTGAACATATGCAAAACTATAGCAAGTCTTATTATTTTGAAGCAAGCCTTCTCAACAATTTCCTCCAGAATCAAGGTGTTCACCATGGTTATACTGTTGTGTATAGGACAGCCAAAGGATCCTGGGGAAAGATTAATTTTTTAGAGGTAGAAGAGCCAAACTTAACTGAGTAATTGTACATAAAAGTATGTATGTGTGAGCGCATGCTCATCTACATGTCAACCTCACAAGGGTGCAACTAGCTCCTGTGGTCCAACTTAGCATAGCACTTAGGCAAGCATTTCACTTTAAACAGGTGACTATATTAAAGTAATTGAGAATTAAGCACATGCTTTGCTTTACTGAATTAGGACACTGATTGCAGAAGAGCCCAGCTGCTAGTTCTTTTCAGCCCTCCCAGCTGGTTTGCATTATGCATTGGCTCATCTTTACTATGCTCTCTGTGAAGCAAAGGACTTGAAACTTTTTTAAACAAAAACTGAGATTCTTCTTCTTGGGACCAAAGCCTGGTTCTGGTAACAAAGTGTCCTGTAAGTCCCAATTACCCTTTCCAGATCCAGTGAGTATATTTGTAGACACTTCTGTTCAACACTGTAAAAGTTATTTTTTGTTATCTTGTGCTCTGGGTCTTGTTCCCTTACTCACATCACTGTAAATCTGCTGACTTCTGTAGAGTTGCCTTTACTTTACACCAGCGGGCGTGAGAGTGGATTCAGGCCCTCTGTGTCTAATTAACATTTCTCTTTGAAGTTTCTCAAACGAATTTCATAAACAAATACATCTGCATTTCAATTAAGTATGATGAATAGGCACTGATTTATTCTGTTTGATGGGTACTGATAGCTTGCATATGTGTCCTAATAGTGGGGTACTGAAGTTGAAACTAACATGAGATGGAGAAAGAAAGATTACAAAGATACCTTTAGTTACTCAACAGAGAAAATTAACATGCATCATTATCACTTAATTCTAAATATTTATGCAAGCTTCCTACATCCTATAGTTTACAAGGCAATTTTCAGAACTGAATTATGTATGTTTTTTCACATGTACAATGAAACTAGTTCTAAACTTTTCTAATTCTATGTATTCTTGTGTTTTTAGGAGGATGTTATACAACATTCATTAGAGGTAGAATGTTGATATTTAATCAATAAAGACATTTCCAAATAACACTTCAATGCATTTCCTTTGTAAGGTATCTTTAACAGTGTCACTTTATAAAAACAAATCCATTATAATTAATGACAGGGAAGAGCAAACTCTTTTAGAGAACCACAACATTCTCTCTGGCAGGACTAGTGTATGCTATTTTTGTCCCTGAACAGTTGAAGAGTTTAAGTTTGTTTAATCATCAGACCCAAACTCTGACAAATCCCCCACTGACTTTAATATGAGTTTTGCTTGAGCTACGCCCACAGGATCAGACTTAAAATATATCAGATTTAGAAATCTTATTAGAATCTCTTTTTTTTTTTTTAGGTGTGGAAACACTAGGGTTACCATTTCTCCAGTTTAAAAAAGGGGGATACCTGTTGGGGGGGAGGGGGTAATATGA